GTCGGATTTGCTCTTGATTAGGTTAGTGCGGGGGGTGAAGCCCGACTTGTTGCTTTCGAATCTCACCACTTCGATGCCACATTTTGGGTTTTTTTGATCGATTTTGGCCAATTTTTGGTTCATGGCTCGCCAACTAAATACTGAGACTGATAAGATAAGCGATTCCCCAATCTCCCCAGATTGATAAAACGGAGGAAATGCTTGTACAGGCAATTTTTAAACAAATAATTACTACTGGATTTAACGATGTAAATAGTTATGGTGCAACGGCCTTTCGACAATTTTAATTTGTTCCAGTGAAATGCAAATTGACATAAATAGTAGAAAAGAGTACGCTGAAAAGTTTTTAAAACTTTCCCGCGATATCAGCATTATACAGTGTGTCCCTGGATCGGTGACTCTTGTAAAAGATAAAAAATTCTAGATTTTAATTTTAATTTTTTGTGGTTTACTCCTGCTAGGTTAAAGATTAATTTCTAATTAATTTTAATTTAAAAAAATTAAATATGCCTTGGAAATTTTCAAAAAAACTATTTTTCTGAGTAAAGTGCTTTTCATGTGGCACATACAACAAAAAGTTATTAAGTAAAGTTTTTTAGAATCAAGTCCTTATCCTAAATTTCAAACTCATCGACTAACTATGATTTTTTTTCAAGATAATTGCTTTTTATCAATAACAAATACGTCTAAAGTTATTTAGTACTAATAATCTAAATATATTTTTTTATTCGTAATAAAAGAACTGTTAAAAATAAAATTCTTTGATTTGTGAATAATATGTTTGTTTAAAAAAAAATAAAAAATCATGATTTTGAAATTTGGCATACGGGCCTAGATGTGGATTCTTGACAACTTTTCTTTAAAAAATTTTGTCGTATTTGTAACACAAAAGGCACTTTACTCGACAAAAAAATAGTTTTTCAAGCATACTTGATTTTTCAAAACTAAAATTATGTTAGAAATTAGTCTTTATCCAAGCAGGACTGAACCCTTAAAGATGAAAATTTAAATCTAGATTTTTTAATTTTTTACAAGAGACGTTTCACCTATTCAGGCACACACGGTATACTCGTATATAAAACAATAAACTCTGAATCATCAGGGTCGCACTGGCTCTAAAGATATAAAAAGATATAATAGGAGGAGCAACAACCTCAAATTTTAAAATAATTTGATGAGACACACCCTGTATCTATTAGGCAACCTTTAAAAAATATTAAAAAAAAAAAGAGTTTGGGTAATACTATATTACAACTCCGAAGAGAAATATGTCATTACGAGAGCTTAGATATATGACCGAAAGACGTAGTTTTAAGATTTCACAGAACACGAAGGTGTAATAAATTCCCACTGAGATTTATATTTTTTTCAAAAATGATGCATTGACAGTTGCTGTGCAAACAAATTACATTGTAACCTTGGTTATCTCAAGTAAATTACTTCCCGACCATGACATACAATGACATATTTACTTAAGAATCGGCAATCGGTATAGTGATTATGAATAAATAAAATTTCATTTTAAACATTTTAAAAAAGAAATATGTAAGGTGTCATATTTAAAAAAGAAAGATACGCTTACTTAATTAAATATCAAGTAAAATTAGCGAAAAATTTAACTTAAAGGATGATTTTTCAAAATATTTGTAAAAATGTAGACAAAAAAACTTAATAGTAATTTTTCGTTACGTGTTATACCTAAATTACCTTGTAAATTAAAATTACAGATGATTCTCTTACAGCCTTGCTACTCCAGTCTAGCCCTGTGAATAGCCTCTTTATTGAACCACCACTGTGATGAGATTTAAAGCGCAGAGAAAAATAATTATAAGTCCAAAATTAAGAGAAAAATGAACTATTCTTTCCATTGAGTTAGAATAATGAAGTTTTAATTATAGATTTGCTCGTTTCAGGTGAAGCAAAAAATGTTTTTCCTTTGCAGTTTTAGCGTAAAATCAATCCGAGAGCATCCTGTATAAGAAAAAATTTGTCGTACATGTGTGGTTTATTACTTTGTAACTATGTCTGGCGTTCAAGTACTTAAATAGATTTATTAACTGGTATAATGTGCAAAGCGTAATGGCCTACCTAAATTTTTACTGAAAAATGCCAAGTACCAATTATAAGGTACCAGAAACACCAGAAAATTTTTACATTTATTTTTTGACACTTCACCTTTTTTATGTCTATTTATTGTTACCGATGATCATACATACAGGGTGAGTCATATATAACAAAGACCCTAACCGATTTTCAGACGCAACCCAAAATACCTTCTCAGATACCACTATGCGTTAATTAATGTACTGTTTGAAATTTTTCAAAGATATAAACATAGATACATGTGATATCTTTGACAATTTTTATAGCTATTGACGGTACAGATTCAGCCACAACATTTTGTGACATTCTCTACTTATCAAGATCATGTCAGTTTTTTAGTCGTTTGAGTACATTTTGAATTCAAGGCAAAAAGAAAGTGAAATTTTTGACACTGTCAAATTTAACTAATGACATATCAACAACTACTTTGACTTCAGACAGTATTTTTCTATCATTTTAAAAAGTTTACTGTAAACTACCTTTTACTCTCGTCATGACTGACATTTGAAAATTCCTTTTCTTGTTTTAAAAATTGCTAATGAAACAATTTGTCTGTCTTTGGAAATTTATTAATTGTACTAAGTGTAATTAAATCATCGGTTTGATCTGCTGCTTACCCATTATTATGACACAAACCACTATTTTCGAAAGTAAATTAGCCAAAATGACATAAACATGACAAGAGTCAAAAATGAGGTTATTGATGTAAAGGTTGTTTTAGAGTTTACATTATGAAAATGACAATACTGCCCGAAATTTTGATTTCGCAACTGTACCAAAGGCAAAGTTGACTGTAAGAATGTATCGGTCAGGGTGTTTATTATAAGTGAATCAGACTGTATACAGACAGCTTCTTTGTTTTCTCTTATAATAGCCTGTAGCAAAAAAAACGTGTAAAATTATTTTCCAACAAAAATAAATAAGGTCAAATTGAAAAACTCAAATCCCCATAATTTCCAAATTCTTATCGATAGAATTTTTTTCCATATTTCTGGTATCTTATCTTACATGGTGGCATTTTTCTCTGAGGCGCGAGTTCTAAACCACCCGATACAAGGTGTTTCACATAACTTCACGAGTAACAGCCATACTTTTTCTATTCATATGATATGTATTAAAATAGAGAGTGGTTGTGAAACTGTTAGACATAATTTTACAGAATGTTAGATCATGACATTCCAACACACCAAAAGTGTTTTGTAGCTTTTTCATCATCACTGAGAAAAAAATCAATTCGCTTTCTCACAAAGTTTATGATGGTAATTATTTCAAGTAACATTTTTGATTTGGCAACATTGACTATAATTCACATACTTGACTATAATTCACACCCTTTTATAGTCAATTATGATTCATTTCCGAGCGGCTGATATAGCCTTCACCTGAAACAATCTGGTATCACATACTAGAAGGATTGACAATAATTCAATGTTGCCATTCGATTTTTTGACACAATAATTTGCAGTCACTCGGTATACAGAGTGAGTCATAAACAGGGTGCGCCAGAACTTGCGCCCCAGAGAAAAATTTCAAGATAAGATACCACGAACATGAAAAAAATTCTCTCTGTCAAAAAATTTTGACATTTATTTTTTGACATTTGACATTTTTTTGTGTCTATTTAATGATATTAATGATTTTGTATATGTTTTTTTATAATTATTTAGTAAAGATACAAAAATTTTGCCAATAAAAGTCACAAGTAAAATTGAACAGAATTGCAATTTAGGATACAGTTTCTTTGTTTCCTCTTCTAATAGACTGTAGCAAAAAAACTTGGAAAATTATTTTTCCAACAGAAATAAAAAGAGTCAGAATGCAAATTTTAAACTCTCATAACTTCCAAATTTTTATAGATAAATTTTTTTAAACATTTTTTTCATGTTCCTGGCATCTTACCTTATTTTGTTTTCTGGGGCGCGAGTTCTGGCGCACCCTGTATAATAAAGACCCTAACCGGTTTTCGGCCGCAATCCAAAATAGATTCTCAGATATCACTATGCGTTAATTGATGTACTGTTTGAATTTTTTAAAGAACTCAAGCCCCTGAGAAAAATGCCATGTAAGAACATGGAAAACAATCTTAAAAAGATTCTATCTATAAAAATTTAGAAGTTATGAAAGTTTAAATTTTGCACTTTGACTCTATTTCTGTTGAAAAAATATTTTTTTTTGTAACTCTCTCTAATGTTATTTGTGGCTTTTATTGGCAAAATTTGTACTTTTACTAAATAATTATAAAAAACATGTACAAGATCATCAGTATCATTAAATACTGACATAAAAAATGTCAAATGTTAAAAAAAAAATTTTGACAGATAGAATTTTTTAAATATTTTGACAGATAGAATTTTTTAAATATTTTTTTCCATGTTCCTGGTATCTTATCTTACTTGAAATTTTTCCCTGGGGCGCCACACTTTGTAAACAAAGATATCTATGATAGCTTTCACTGTTTATATAAATTGATTTAAATAAAGTAATAATCTATTTTTTTAATATAACAAATTACGAGTATGTATTGTGGGTTGCGTCTAAAAATCCATTAGGGTCTTTATAATAAATGACTCACCCTGTATAATTTCTTCTTGGGCAAACTTTTATCATATTTTAATATCTTGATCATCAACCTTTATTCCATTATTGCTGTATAAAAAGTCTTGACCTGTTGAAGAGTGTCAAAATTTAAACTAAAAAAATGAAGGAACTGTAAGTTCCTGTTTTTATGCAGTTTGTTTTATAGTTTTCGTCATGCTATACCTCCAAAAGATAAGCCAAAGCAGTTATTCCGGTAATGACTAAAACATAAGCTTACGTCAGTCTCTTTCTACCTACTCCTTAAAGGCAACAATTGGATAAAATAAATAAGCTTGACTTTTGTCAATTACTCAACTTACTTTTATGACATCGACTGTATTGTATCGTGATCTTTCCCTCGTTGAAAACTTCGTCCTTCTGATAGCCACCGGACTTTGACGCAAACTCCTAAACCTTTCGTCATCGAAGGAAATAGACTTTCTTCTGGTGAGTTTCGGAGAAACACTTTCTTTGATTTCAAAGTGTTTGGCTTTTTCCTTCTGTTTTAGGAAGAGATCGTTTTTCTCCAAATCTAGGTGGATTGGCACATATTCCAACGATATGGATTTTTCCTTTTGAAGTTGCCGACGTTTGGGACGAACTCGGGGACTTAGTGGCGTGATCGATTTTAATTCGTCGGTACTTTTATATTTCTTAGATGTGAAACTTTTCACACGACGCAACATTTTTACCGTAACTGTTTTTTCGACAATATTTTCACTTCAACATTGTTTGTGTCATTTCCTGATAAGAATTGAGAGTTTATTTCTTATCAGGAAGTGGGTAAATAATTATTTTAAAATTGCCCGCAAAATTTAAAACTGGATTTTGGCAGCAGAGCTGATTAAAACAACTTCAATTTCAAATTCTCTTTTACGAATTCTTAGGGCTCATTGACACAAAAACAAATTTCAATTTTAATTCGAAATTAAGTCGAACAAAATATACACGGTGAGTCTTAACTTAAACGCATAAACTTAGGAAACAAAATGTTATGATCAATAATAAGTAATGAAATGAAAAATAAATTAAATAAAAGCTTTATATTTTTGACAAACGTCAATAAAAGTACCACTTAGTCCTACCTATAAACAAAGAAAATCGATTCACTTGGCTATGTTGGCTATGGACGGCCTCAGGTGTGGCGTGATTTTTCTCTGGGGCGCGAGTTTTAAAGAATCTTTTATGTTAGCTCATTTCTTTTTTAAGTTGCCATCTATGGAAAAATGTCCATTATAACGTTGTGTGAAACCCGTTTCACCAAATTAATAATAATAACCTTATATTACGATTTAGTGTAGAAAACTAGAAATAGGCATTTTTGTAGAAACCTGTAGTATTATATCGTATCCTTTAAAAAATACAGGTCACTGTAGTATGTATAATTAATATCCAATTTGTTTTTATGAGTTTTCTGATACTAACTGTTAATATTTACCTATAAAGTTTTTGCACAAAGTGAATCTGTACCTACTAGCGTATCAAACCCTGGTATCACAATTACAAATTTTAAGTTGGTTGGCAAAATAATCGCTTTTTTATTTAAACGCAAACCAGACGTGTGATTTATGACAAATGATTTGAAGCAAATATCCCAACGAAATTTTACAAGCCCAAATTACATAATTTTAAAGTAGATCCAGAATTATTTTACTGCTTTCACAGCGGGACGCTATTACTCTTACCATAAATACAGATTGTTAAAAAAAGATTGTAAAATATTTGAGGAGGTCAAAAATAAACAAAAAAGGTTTAATAAACATGGACCCTCAAACAGTTTCGGAAAGTTTTTAGAATTTGTACTAGAAGCTCTTCTCTTTTTTGTTTGAACAGATTGCAAATAAATGTTTCAAAAAACGAATAATCCTTGATATCTCCGAACCGTTACTTTGCGGATCCAAAAAATATGCACAAGATATCAAGAAATATGCTCTATTATATCGATATGCAAAACTTTTAACAATAAAAAATCAAAGTTGGAATAAATTTTTATCCTCGTGTATACTAAACTTTGTATTTTCGGCATCTTGAACTGCACACGATAAACAAAAAACAAACTAGTTTTGCCTTAGACAAACCATTTTAATAACCTAGTAATTAAGCCATTCTAAGAAATCTGTAGTTTTCAGATCACATCACTTTAAACAATTTCGCTAAAATTCATTTGTAGTTTGCAGACAACTTCTTATCCGAATGAAAAGATTATAGCCAAATGAAGCACCCTGTATGTATGTATGTACATACATACCAGGTGAATAAAACGTATGGAACCAAACGTTTTTTGCATAAACTATTTATTTTTTGGAAAAACTAATTGATGAATGATGAAGTATGTGCTATAAAAATGCGAAGTTTTATCAAGGATCAAATATTTAAAAAAAATTTTTTTTGAGTTCTACAATTTATTTCTTACATTTATTTTTTAAAATGCAAACCGCAATCCACTAAAAAAACATTCATGAAAGTTATGATGTAAGAATCACAACTATTTACTTTATACAGGGTGTTTGTTTTTCGAGCTCCACCATGGGGATCTCAGTTTTATAAGAGATACGAGGTCGATTAAAGTAGGGCAAAGTTGCGCATTTTTATGTTGAACAATATTCTGAAAGAAAATTTAATGTGTCATTTTTAGTTTTTAAATTATTAGAAAAAAACGGAAATTTGTAATTATTGTTTTTATTTTTTCAACCGAAAACTAAACGACGTTTCTAACTAGGTCGTTTTTAAGGCCCTTTTTCACAAAGAATCTAAATCTGTCATCGTATTTTCCAAAGCGTTCTTGATATCAGAGTTACAACACTCAACTTTGGATTTTCTTTCGGATGCCATATTTGATTTCTGTATTTTTGAAAAGTCTTTTTGTTGCTGATTACAACGATGTATCACACGTTATTATCAAATTTTACATGCTGATCAAAATTAAGAAAATGCGTTTTTACAAAGAGTGCTTTGGAAAAAACACCAAGAATATTTTTAGATACACCAAATATTTCTAGATCTACTTTACTTTAGCAAATCCGTTCAAGGAAATATTCAAATTTCTACCCAGGTAAAATCAAATGCGCTAAGGGTTAAACTTTATCATTTGTTTTCGAAAATTAGCTGGTTGTGTACTTGGTAATTTTAATCTTCAGGTAAGTAAATTACTTCTGAATTTCGAAAAACGGATTTAACCGCAACTCTTTTTGTGGGGTAGGTGAAAGCCATGATTTATCTTAAAAGAATGTACTGCTATTGAAAATATATGTATACACTTCGACGCAAAATTAAAGGATTTGTCTTATATTTTCATTTTGATTTAAAGTATAAATTTACTTCTCATTAAATAAAATACTCGGAAGTTGTTCTTACTAATTCTTATATTTATTTTAAAATTTCTGATTTCTGAAACTCGAATTTAAAAAAAAACAAATTAAAATAAATGCATACAGGGGTCAATTGTATTATATTAATTTTCCAAACAAAAAACACGAAAACGTTACTAAAAATACACCTCATGAATGAAAACAGACATCATCGTCATTTATCTGAGAGCGAAGTCATTAAATTAGTGACGCTTGTTGAAGAAGGATACTCTCAGCAAGAAGTTGGCCAAAGACTAGGTGTGCAACAATCAGTGGTCAGTAGAATTTGGCGAAGATATAGGGAGACTGGTAGCTACAGTAGGAGACAAGGGCAAGGTAGAAAACGTAAAACATCAAATGCAGAAGACCGATTTATACGAATTAATACTAAAAGAAAACGTTTTTGTACTGCAAGAGAAATTAAAAAATGACCTTCAACATGTTGCAGGTACCACAGTTAACTTAGATACTGTAAGAAGTAAGTATTGTTGGACTAAAGCCATAGCGCCCTGTCACTGGCCCAGTTTTAACGGTAACACACAGAAGAGCTCGATTAGAATTTGCTCGAAGTTATGAGAATTGGCAAATTGATGATTGGAGACACGTTTTATTTACGGATGAGTCCAGATTCTGTCTATTTACTAATGATCGTCGTGTAAGAGTATGGAGAAGACCAGATGAACGTTTTTCTCAATGTGCCATTCGAGAAATAGAGCCGTTTGGTGACGGCTTTATTATGGTATGAGGAGGTATAACTCTTGAAGACCGCACAAATCTTGTCATCTTCGACAGAGGGTCAATGACTGCTTTAAGATATAGAGATGAGGTTATAATCCCCATTGTGGAACCATTTGCTGCTCTACATAGTCCAGAATTTATTTTAATGCATGACAACGCCCGACCAATCGTTGCAAATATTGTAAGACAAGAGCTTACAGCAGCAGATATGAATGTTTTAGAGTGGCCACCTAGAAGTCCGGATCTCAATCCAATTGAACATGTCTGGGACAAGCTAGGAAGAAAAATGAGAGCTCTTGAATTTCCTTCTAGAACATTACAAGAAGTCTTTTTAAAATTGCAAGAAATTTGGACCACAATACAACAAGAGGAAATTCCTACTCTAATTCAAAGCATGCCACAAAGAATTAAAGCAAGCTTGTATAAGAGCAAGAGGTGTCATACACGTTATTAGTATTTCTTTGTAGTTAAATTTTGTTAATTTCTTTTTTGTAGTAAAATGGAAGATTTTCTGTTTTATGAACATTTTGTTAAAAATAAATTAAGTATAATTAAATAAATACTTAAAAAAAACATTTTTTGATGATTCAAACGTACTTTTTTCAAAATATTAAAATTTAGTTTATATCCCTTAATTTTGCGGCGAAATATAAGATCGAATCCGAAACGCATATGGAAACTAATAGACGCAAATGTTCAAGAAAATTTTCAGGGGGGCGTACGGGTCTGCATTAAGAATAATAGACATAATTTTGGTTTTGAACACTTATTATAAAAATAAAAATATTTGTTTACAAGTACCTAAAATACAGTTTTTGCGGACGAATCGTTGTTTCCGAACGAGACGAAGTCGAGTCTGGAATAGCAGATCAGTACGCAAAAAACACTTTAGGTACGTATTACAAATAACATTTTTTTGTTTAAGCTACCAAAAAACGAATTCATACCTCTTATTAAATAAAAAAAAGCCACCAGACTTTTTCGTTTGGAAAAACTGTATTTTGTGTACTAAAGTACCTAAAATAACAATTTTAGTCCGGAAAAGGACTGATTTTAGGGACTCAAATGTAACCACAGAAATCATATAAGATATTGGTGTTGAAAAAAACAAGTTTTTTTCAATTTAGATTTGCATCTTTTGACCGCCATAACATTGGCATAAAGTAAGATACTAATTGTCATCAATTTTTTCAATCGGGGGAAAGAAGGCAATTTTATAGTCACTAAATTAGTTTGTTCTAAAAACAAATTGATCCCAAAATAAAATTTATAAAACAAATAAATATTCGGAGTGTAAGTTTTAGTTCCAAGATTCTGTTATAGAATTCTAAGAAAAAAGAGAAAGCTGATTTAGGATCCATCTGGCTCACAGTCCCTAATTTTAACTATAATTACAATTGCTGTCTCGATTTACATTTTTTTAATTATATTTTATATGAATTCTAAAATAAGTTATAGCTACCAAATACCTGCATTAAAGAAAACAAGAATAAAAACCTTTTTTTTCAAAAGTAATAACTAAAACTTTATAGTAAAAACGACAAAAAAGGATATTTTCTTTTTTTAAATAATTTTGAGAGGACTTAAATTAATAAATAATAACCTTAGAAAAACACCTAATTTTCTAAATTTTGGCCAATTTAAAGTTTACATCTTGACACATTATACAAAAAATAATAAAAATTAACAATCTTTTATAAAAATTTATGTAAATAACTTTCACCCCAACCCCACTTTCCCTTATCACCGGGGGGGTTGGTCAATAAAAGGCGAAATTTTGTCCTAAAAGCATCAGTGTGAAATAGAATCCCGAAGTGGTAAGTAAACAAAAATTCTTAAGTTATTATTGCTTCTGTTTTTGGGGAATCTTAATTTTTCCCATATCGAAATTACAAGCATGGGTTGATCAAGGAGGCTCAAAAACAGAAATCTTATTTTTGTGCACTCGATTTGTTTTTATGGTAACATGAATCGTATTTATGTCAATTTTGTATCATAGTACGGTTCATGTCGCCTCAAAAACTCATCGCAATTCAACAGATTTCTTCAAAAATCAAAGCTGAGATTTGTAGAGTCGACACTTGCATTTTCATGAGATTTGACACATGATATGCAAAAGTGTCGATTTTATAATAATCATTCATCTAATTTTTATCGAAATTCCTTTAAAAAATGAAGAAACACAGTCGTGACCTTTCATCCAATGTCATCGAATGTCTTTCAATGAAAATAAGGAACATTTATGGTTGCCTTACGAAAATGCAACAATGCTTTTGTTTCAATCAAAGTTAGTACCACCGTTTTTGAGCAGGTTTAAGAAACCATCACGAGTAACAAACATTTTTTTTGTATTGTCACCAGGCAAGTCATCACATGCAGGCTGCTTGCTTATTGGTAGTAAAAAACACGCAAGTTTTTTATTTGGGTTGAATGGACATGAAGTGTTACTATGGACTATGGTACTCATAGTACGTTTCATGTCGGTTAAGTAATGAATTTAAATTCAACAAGATCGAGTAAATTTGGAATTGAATGAATTATAAATTCCACAAGATTCGGTAAATTTGGTACTGAGTAGGCATAAAGTGGTACTGTGTACTATTTTGATTTAGAGTACGACCCATTTCATCGAAGAATTTCTTATGTTATATTAGCTGTTTTTCAGAATATGAGAAACTGATTCCTGATTTCATTCACATGTTTTTGATGTTTAGCTACCATTTGCCGTCTCTATGTTGTTTTGTAGTCATAGTACGGTTAATGTTCGCTTAATTTCGAATTCTATAACGACTGAACCGAATGAGAAATTGTAGAAGCCCAATGATTAATGACGAGTAAAAAAAATGCGATATATAAAACTGTTTGTCGAATGTCATTCATGATTTCATGACATAATGCAAGCAGCATCCTGAGTTATTCATGAGAAGAGTACTTCTGATTTTTTTTGTTGCAACATTGACAATTTCTTGATTTTCAAATAATAGAAAACAATGACATAGGTACAACAATTACGTAGGATTCATTGTCTAATAATTTCGTGAAACTTCTAATATCTGGTGATTTTTTTGGGACCAAGTCGAAAAACCGCCAAATTGCTTAAAATAGTTCTGTTTGTGTTTTACAAGATTTTACTTAAAAAGATCTAAAATGAGATTTTTGTCTTTTTCGAATACTAAAAACACAATTATATCGCAAATAAATTTCGTTAAAAACAATTCAAAAATTTAACAAATTCGGCCAAAGACTACGTTATATTTGTTTAAGCACGTTTTTGAGATAAAACCAGAAAACTTTGTTAACTTTGTTGTTAAAATTTTGTTAAAACAACCAAAAACATAACAAATCAAATCGAAATTGATATTATTTTTAGCATGCTTCGCTCGACTTACTTCGTTTTTGAACCAGAGGCTCATTTATTTTGCAAAATCTTGTCCAATCACGCTTAAAGATCACAAAAACAATTGATATTGACGTTATTTTGCTTTTTGAGCACAATAAGCCGAAACTATTTTTGTACTACAATCTCAGGATTTCGAGATTTCGCTAGAACGAACTGGAAACTCAACAAATTAAGTCAAAAATTGCATTTATTGAGCGTTATTCAGCTAAAAACGCAATTATTTCGCAAAATTTTGTTAAAAATAAGTCAAAAAACACAGAATTAGGCCGAGAATGATAAAATTTATCTTAGAATTTATTTCGAAAATTCAAGTAGATTTTTAAGACTTGCAAGAGTTTGTCATAGCGTTTCAACAATCGCTAAATTGTTATAAAAAAGAGTATATTATGATTTTCACCTAACTCTTATGCTTTAACTTAATCATTTCGTCAAATTTTCTCGAAAAAAAAAATTAAAAACCACCAAATTGGTTAAAAATAGGTGAATTTATTTTTACGAGATATTACTAAACAACTTATTTTTGTCTTCGAATGCTTTTTCAGCTAGTAACACAATTATTTTGCAAAATTTTGTAAAACAAGCCATATATTCAACAATATACGTTTTTTGTTGAAGATGTTTTTGAGAAATAGAAACCCAAAAAGTTTGAAATATTGTTTAACTTGTTTCGCGTGACTTACTTCGTTTTTGAGGTTCATTTATTTAGCAAAGTCGAAACACGCCCAAAAATTACCAAAAGGATTGATATTGATGTGATTTGTTTGTTTCACAACTGGTCTTTGAATAAAATTTAAATTGAGACAAAAATAAGCTGAGAAACCACAAAACTTGAGTGAAAATGTTTTTAAACACGTTTTTGTACTAAAATCTCAGGTTTTTCGCTGTACATAATAAGATATGATTTTTTTAGATTTCGCTAAAATGTCAACTTTTGTCTATAGCGGGATACGGTTTTGACTAATATTATTTTCTCAAAAAATGAGCCACAGAATGTATCACTGATTTTTAACTAGATTTCTTAGTTTCTGAGATTTCCTATTCGGACATCTAAAATGAAGCACCCTGTATGTATGTACAATCAGCGTAGAAAAGATTGTCCTCCTAATAAACCTCCCGAACCCTTAGAGGCTGAACCCATAAACCACAACAATAAATCTTTTCCATTGTAAACGTCATTTCATATTTAACAGTATATTCAGTTTGTAGTGAAGCTTAGTTACCGATTTTACTTTCAATTGAGTAGATAAATAAAAAAATTATTTTATTGAATGTTTGATGTTATTTATTTACTAAGATAACAAGTAAATGCCGTTTTAAATGTATGATAAAATAAACAATATTATTATTAGTAATATCTAACAAAAACCATTTATTGTTAGACATTAAAAAGACCAAATCTAACCAGAGACAATTTAACATAACTCTTTAATTTATTGATAGCTTAATTCTTTTTAATAAAGTTGCATTTGACAAATTAAATAATTTCATATCTTTTTTATTCAATCCAAACAAACTTTGACACATCGATTTTCTAAGTATTTTACAATTTAGTTTTGCTATAATAAACAGAAGATAAAAAAAATACATTATTTATTATGTAGTAGATATTTTTTTCTTTTTTTTTTATTCGTATTCAAAATTAATTTGCAAATATTATTGTATTAAGGTTAGAAGTAATTTTTTGGTAATAATTTGTTTATTAATAGGGTAGACGGTTCTCCAGTGGCTAGGATTTTTTTAATACACAAAAATTAAAATTGATTAATTTAGTTTTAATAAAATAATTTTAATAAAATTGTTAGCAAAAACAAATTTATAAATTTGTTACAATTGTTTTGCGCTTGCAATATTTTGGTTCTAAATATCTCAGTAGTTCAATTTAAATATTCCTTTTTTGAAAACGTTGCCACGAGTTCAAAAGAGTTAGCACGTCTACCTGTTTGAATTGAATAAAAATTAATAATGAAATAAAATTAAATTATTTAATTTGTCATTTACAACTTAAAAAAAATAATAAGCATCACTGTTTTAAAAAGTTATTTATTAAATAGTCTCATTTGG